CATATCATCCTAGTGGAACAATAACTAAAACACAATTAGAGGAATTTCAATATTAAAATTAGAAGTTTCTAATTAATTACATAAATTGTTAAAACTAGAAATATTAAAAATAGAATCTAACTAGAAAAAACCATGGAGTTAACACAAAAACTATTGACCCACTTCTTTTAATTTAATTTATAAAAATCTCCACTAACTTATTGTTTCAAGCAACCTTAGAAATTTCTTCTACTAACATTTTTACTGCAAAAGTGAAGAAAAAGTTAAAACAAAGTTAGTGGCAGAATTAGTACTAAATCTCTAGGGGGAAAAAATTCTTTGAATTACTGAAGCAATAGATTATAATAACAGACATACACTGCAAAACACATTTTTTCAGTTTAGTAGTAGGATATTGGCAGAGACTTTGATTAAAATAACTTAAAAATTATGAAAAAAATAATTAGGATTTGCTGTATGTATTGAAGATCAAATGTACTGATATAGAATTAAATGGTTTTATGAGCTCAAGGTCACAAAATCAAATCGTCCATAAAGAATAATTTGAAAGTACAAAAATCATTGGAATAAATAGAATAAACATTCTTCATTATTACAGATTTGTAGTTATTTTTAAGTATCAATTATATTAAAAATATCGTTCAACCAAGCAGTCTTTCAATAATATTTCTTTTATTTGGCATTGCAAGATTTAAATTATTGACTTGACCGGTAAAATCGCAGCAACAGGAATGATCCCTTAATATATAGTTCCCTAAAGATTTAAAAACTAATTTTAAACTTCAGAAACTTTTAAGGTTTCTAAAATTTTACCCAAGGCACCAAAGCCTAGTATAACTTTTATACATTTAATTAAGTTATTTTGACTCTAAGTTGCCAGTGTACCACCTAACCCGAGAGAAAACCTATTTTTTATTTTTTTTTATGATAGAAAAAAATTCTTTAGCTAACAATGCAAGAATGAAAAAATATCCCATATATACAATCAGGGTTCCCACTCAATTTCAGAAAGAAAAAAAAAATCTGACTTTCCCAGATACACCAGATAAATTTCAATAAAAATCAAGACCATATTTTCACCAGAAAACTTTGATTTTTACACTTGTAATGTGAAATAGTTTTTGTGTGTAAAAAAATACCATTGAATTTCAGTTGGACTAGATCATGAAATTTTTACAACAAATAATTGTAATTGATGTTAGAATTATTTAACTAGAATCTCAATGACTGATTACTGTTACGGACAATTTTAAGGCTGGTTATTTTCCAGGTATAATATAGGAACATTCCAGGTTTTTGTAAAAAAAAATTGCAGCTTTCCCTGATTTTTAGACTTGAAATAAAATTCCCTGACAATTCCAGGTTTTCCCTGTTCTCCCTGACCTGTGGGAACCCTGTACAATCTACTAAATGCATTGTTTATAAAACTGAATTTATAAATAGATTTTACAGACCGGACCTCTTGCAGATCTACATGATCCAAGTATCTTAAGTTATACTAACAATATATAGATCAGAGGTTGAGTGTCTTTAGGGGTGTAACAAGATATTTTTGGGTGGTGGGAAAAATTCTTAATTTTCCAAATGAAATTCCAACTTTACCGAATAACAAAAGAAACGTGCACTGATGGTAAACCAGTTTAGGATAAAGAGACCTTCGTCACCTGCACCAAGTGCCAAACTCATCAGGCTTCTTCTGAGAACCTCTCGGATTGCATGGGACTCTCTAAGGAGGATCTCTTTAGCAATCCTCTCCTAGTCTTCGACTTCCTTTCAGTCAACGAACTCGTGGGTCTTGTCTGATTTCGTCAGACAGTGAGCATAAGCAACAACAGGATAAAGAGACAAAATACCATATTGAAGATTAACAGCAATTATTTAGCCACAATCTCGGAAAGCTCTTTATTAAATAAACAATTTGTTATCAAAATTAATCAACATTGCAGAGATGCTAAAACATTTTTCAATATGGGTGCATAAAAACCAAAAAATATAGCATAAATACCAAAAAATATATTGTGGATCAACATCAATTATTTAACTACAATCATAGAAATGAAGAATGTATTTTGATTCTATTTGAAAGAAATATTAATGACTAATACACGTTTAACTAATTTTTCATTACTGGAGATCAGATAATGGAAATTAGAATAAATAGACATAAAAAAATAAATGTATCAGATTTTTTTACAAGGTTATGAAGAAAAAAAATCTCAATAAATACATGAAGAAAAAAAAACATTATTATTCAGGAAACAAAATTTGTTGCAGATACAGTATTAGATTAGTAACAGAGTGTAGCAGATAAAAAAAAATAGACAATATTTTAGACAATTCAGAAGGCAAATTGATAACAGGTTTTGGCTTGTGGACTGCAGATTATGCATTCTTAAAAATTGTGTCGAAGAGGTCATAAGATCGATCCCCGCAGGCCATACCCTCCCCGTGTAGTAAATGGTGACTGGAGTATGTTAAATCTGTCAGATAACAAAGACCTCCATGTTCCCATAACAAATCAATATGGGTTACTGATTGAGATAAATCGTTCTCTGGTTCAGGTAAAAATTACGATCTGTGGATGAATAAATTAACAAACTTGCCCAATAAACGGCTGCAGCGTGTATGTGGCTAAGTCTTATTCTTGGCCACAGATGTCTTCCCCCCTCGAAGAATAAGTAACTCACCCTCTATCTTAAATTCGCTTAGTTTCACCAAGAAGGTTTGCTAGTATTGGTAAGTAGCATTAAAATTGCAAATGAAGGCAAATCACTCACAAATCACCTAACTTATGCAAAATGACTAAGGGGCCGTCTGCAAATGATGTCAGGATTTGAAGGGGTTTAACATTTTAGGACAGTTTGAAACAATGTATGGGAAAGGGTAACAAGTGAGACAACACATATTTTGGTTAGAAAAAATACATTAAAAGCCAGCAAATTAAATATTTTTATATTACTAATTTTCCTAATTATTTTTTTTAAATCAAAAGAGTACATGTATGATCTTCATTATTATGTTCACTATGATTGTATTAAAACACATAATTAAATTTTAAAAATAAAATTTGAAGCATGAACTATTAATCCCATCAGAACTGCAAGTTTACATTTATATAATTTAGTGTGACACATGACAAGAAAAGTCAGAAATACTTTGTGACACAGAGGAGGCATGGTCAAAAATATCTTATTTATAGAACCGTCGTTGAACAGCCGACCCAAATTTTGAGTTTAAGTTTTGAGTTACTACTTAAGTTAAACTCTATAGCCCTCTAATTTTTAACTCAATCCAGAAGACAAGGCAACTCCTGGATCAAGTATTGGGTGAAATTTGCTTTCGTAGAGGACTTTTATGGAACTAACCTGCATTTGCATTACATGGTGAGGAAAACAGCAAAAACCTCCTACTGTTAGCCTGACGACAAAGGAGCTCTAACCCATGATCCATCTACCACTGGGGATATTTTACGTGATTGTGGTCAATGCGAGCTGGGTGCAGAACTTGTATCGATGAGCCATTGCTGGCATTCAAACCAGCTTCCCCTCATTGGGAGGCAAGCACTCTAAACCCTGAGCCACCCTGGCCCGGTCAAAAATATTTTATATATATCCGTTGTTGAAAAGCCGACCCAATTTCGGGTTTACGACTACTAATGTTCAACTCAGTAGNTGAATCAATTCAGAAGACAAGGAAATTTTTGTTTCAGTACCCCCAGAGGTTTTGATTTGTTATAGGAACATGGAGGACTTTGCGACGACAGATTTAACGTGCATCAGTCACCATTTACTACAAGGGGAGTCTTCGGCCTGTGTGGGATCGAATCCACAAACTCTTGGACATGGGCCCAGTGCCCTACCAACCAGGCTATCTTGGCCTTTAGGTCAAAAATATTGAGAAAAAAAAGGATATAATTTATGGACTAACACTAACCTCACATACCTATTCAAAATGACTTGTACTCGTATCCACAGTTATATCCAGTATACAAACATTGTGTTTGGAGTTCTCATGATAGCAAAACATATATTTATTTTAATTTTTTGCATCTATTTTTTATAGTAATATCAAATAACGTATTAATTAGAAACAGGTAAGGTAAAACTAAGTAAAATTTTTACTTAGGGACCATTCACAAATGTAGAGCGTGCACTCTAACCCTTAAAACACCACGGCTCGGACAAAAATATTGAAAAAAAGGAAGACATCATTTATAGACAGACCAAAACTCCATGATGTCAGACATTAGAAGGAATTGATGAAATTGAAAGGAAAGAGATGGGCATGATAACGAGATGTTTGAAAACACACATTTTGGTTAAAATAACAGCATTCAAAATTAGCAGATTAAATATATTATGTATTGATTTTTTTTAATCAAAATAAGTCATATGATAGTTATTCTAACTAGTGACATTGAAACACATAATTAAGAGTTCAAAAAAAATTTGATGGGTGATCTATAACAAGTATCTTATTACTAGTAGGGAATGTCTTTATGCAATAAAGTGTGACAAATGATATGAAGATCAAACTTATAGACAAGAAAAAAAAGTGACAATTATGAACGGCCATTTTATTGCACAGCGTGTTTTATCATAAAAATTGTGCTTAGCACTTGATTCGTGTAATTGAATTTGACAAAATTTAATGCAGGTTTAATAATTTTATAGGAAGAAAAAAAACATTTATAACTAAGAAAGAATATTTGTATAATATCTCTATTATTTTACCCACCTCTATACCCTGAGTAATTTTTTTATTATTTATTTTCGTTACTTGTTTTAAGAAATTTTACAAAAGAAATATTTAATTTTCTCCATTTTGCACACAGAAGTAATAGTATATTTATCTTTAATAAATAAAACAAAAAAAAGGGCCAATAAACTATAACTTTTTAGCAGTCAATGTTCAATTTGGCTAACAACTTTTCCATAATAATTTGTTCTAGTTTAACAGACATAACATGAAAAAATTTAAACATCAAATTTCTTTCTTACCTTTAACTCCTCTTCAGATTTAGCATGAAATAGTTAAGAACCCTGATATTCTAAAATGCAAATGAAACAAAGCATTAGCAAATATTCATTTTAACAATAAAACAATGGTTTAATAAAAAAATTTAATATTAATCATTTTTTCCTTTATTTTCTTTAATTAAGGCAAGAAATCTTTGTGAACTTAAGAGTATTAATCTGATTACAAATATTTACTAAAAAATCATAGGTATTTCACAAGAGTGAATTTTTTTTTTTTTAATAAAACATAAAAATTTTCTTACTGAAACAAAAACATATGAAGATACATATAGCACTAAGATGAAAAGTTTACTTAGTCAAGCTTAAGAAAATACATTTTACATTAAGATAACTTCTGTGCTAAGACATTATAACATATGGAGAGAAAATTCTTAATAAGAAATACTGTAATTGAGGTCCTAATATAATTTACAGAATGTATAAATCAAAAATTCCACTGTGAGGTAACCTAAACTGAACTGTACTAAAACTATGTTAGCTCTAAATTAGCAACAATCTAAATTATTTCCTTTTGTTTAAAAATTATCTCTAGCTTTTCATTTTACAGATACCAATTGAGTTTAAACAGCTAGAGCATGTGTTTGCTCTATTCTTATAAATAAAAATAACTTTTGACTCAAATCTAAGTGAATTTAAATTGTTAGTTGCTATTGATAGTTTATTTAGATATTGTTCTAATAACCTTGCTATATCAATAATAGATTTTATGTTTTTTTCTTCCTTTTAAATCAGCTAATTACATAAATCTAAACAATTTGCTTAAAATTGAAAGATATTTAATGTTTTTTTTTAATTAAGTTAAATGCAATAGTTTAGAAAAGTTCTTTAAGCTAAATGACATAAAATGTTGCATTCTAATTTCTGTATTCTTAACTTTAACAAAGAAAATACATTTTACATTATAAAGCAAGATGTGTTAGAGGAAATTAATTAATTTATGCTTTAGAAGTTAATTGATTCCTAATGAATAATTTTCACTACAATTAGATTTTAATACTGTCATTGTAGTAATAATTCTGTAAAGAGTGTGGATGAACTAAGTTTTAGAATGGCAAAATTAGTTTTAAATCCATAAATAGGTTAATATGTAAAATTTTGAGTAAGGTTATTTTACTTTTCATTCAATTAATAAATGAGTTGGTAAAGTAAATAAGTAAAAATAACTTTCAACCTCATCCTAAAGTGTTCTGTTTAGAATCATATGTTAGACAAAGCCCTTTACAATTTGACTGGAAAACTAGTGAAAACAATCTTCTAAGAACAAAATATACATTCTTTGTCTTAATAATTAGAAAAATGTTAAAAATATTTTTAATTAATTAGATAAAATAGAAAGCTAACAAAGCGATCACGTTCGATTGACATATTGCGATCACAATTAATATTTAATCAAGCTAATTAATTAAAACTTCAAATAATTTTAACTACTAGCAATTAATAACGTTATGAAGCCACGCATTCTGAAGAGGTTAAATTTTGTGGCACTAAAACGAATTACTAATAACAACGATAGCAGATTGGAATTATGGAATCAAATCAATTTTAACTGCACTTGACAGATTAAACAAAGAACATAATTTACTTTATTTAAAAACATACCATATATTAATTACATTCACATTAAGTTAAGGTTGCACTTGTACGTTGCAAAATGAAGGCTGAAGGCCACACAAGGTTGCCCACACGAGTATCCAATTGTATTCTGGCGCGCATGTAACGAAGCGAATGCGCGTACAACACGTGTTATTTCATAAAAGATATTATTTCCAGATAGTTTTATAACTGCAATAAGCCACAGCAACTCAACCAGCAATGAATTTGTTTCCAAAATAGCAAAGCATAACAAAATACACTTAACACAATAAGATGCTGAACTGCCTACAGAAATTTAGGCTTAGCTTATGGACATTCGATATAAGCAAAGCTTCCTTTGTGACATCATAAACGATTCAAAATATGGAAGCAAATTCGATAAAAGGCCAAAAAGATGCAGAAAACACAAAGATATTCCAAATTGAGATGATAATGGCTACTTAACGAGTAAGTTTTGTAAAATGATAACCAAATATTGCCGATCGCCAACTAGCTAGTCACATTCTTCACCAAGAACGGCTACACAAAGAAGAAAGAACAAGGTCACTTCTTGTACCGTTGCATGTGGTTTTGGACATGGTGTCATTTTCCGTGTTAATAAGTAGTTAAATAGCATAAGATTTTTTGAAAAATTGAAAGGAAAATCTTAATTTAAGAGCATTATTTTTTTCATTAATAATATCAAAAGATTATTTATGAATTATGATTGACATAAATATTTACCCGCATCAACATCCGTGCAGAATAATATATTTGGATTTGGCATCACGATTTAACCACATTGAAAGCTATGTGAGCAGTCATTTTATTCTAAACAAATTTTACTTCTATAAACAATGTAAGTTTTAAAAATATAATTAATAAATTACGGAAGAATCTTTCATTCTACGAGTATTTAAATGAATAATAAAATGTTTTTTTATGATTAGCGTTAAATCTTAATTCACTTGAAAACAAATGTTTACCAACATATATGAATACTTTATGAGTATTACCTGGGTTTCTCTTAAATAATATTGTAAATAGTATTATGTTTATTATTTGAAAATAAAGAGGGCTTGTTACTATGCAACTATAATAATCTACCAAGTTGTGTTACTGGATTGCAAGATCAAAATCATGAAATTTGATACTTACGGAGATTAGAATAAAACGTATTTGAATTATTAACGTACGGATCAAAATTTTACGATTTAAGGGTTAATGACAGCTAATGGTTTTAGCAAGCCATCCGGTACATTATTTTTCGCTAACAATGAAACTTGAAAATTTTCTAAACGTTATTACACAATTACTAAGGAATTGAAAAGGTAAACTGACTAGTACTAAAATACTTATTTTCTATATCGTAAAGTAGGCATTTCGAAATGAGCTTGATTTATATAATTTTATTTCATAAAGTAACACTATTACGTATGTAATGTATATCGTTGTTACATTACTTATTTTCATGCATTTTTTGTCTTAATTGTATACTAAATATTCAAATTTTTTTTAATATTGCTAATACATAATACTCACTGGTTTTAAAATGGTTCACAATTATGTCATATGATAAAAAAATAATTTCTGATTAAGAAAACTAAATTTTAATATTAAAAACTAGTAGTCAGCATTATTATCAGTAAGTCAGGTATAATTTGAGCTCCTTTTTCATACTTGTTATCGTTATTACATTTACAGGCATGTTATTTTAGAATTATTTAATGATTGTTTTTAATTTATTTCAATTAAAATTTATTATAGGGCAAAATTAACGGTCACTATCAGCCCCAGGGTGACTAAATGTAACAAATGGCGATAAAAAAATTGTCTGCCAGTCGCCATTTTCTCCTCAAAAAGCATACTATGTGCAATTTATTATTTTTTTTTTATAGATATAGAATCATTATGAATATTTTATAATATTCTGAAAATTATTTTATTTTTTGTTTGTTTTTTAAAATATTTTTTCTTCTTTTTAGAAAAAAACTTCCTATGGTTTATCATATTACAAGAATATTTTTATAAAATATTTTATAATATTCAGAAAATTATTTTATTTCACCTTTGTTTCTTAAAGTATTTTATCTTCCATTTAAAAATAAACCTCGTATCGCTTATCGTATTTCGAGAATATTTTTATAAATATTTCATAATATTCTGAAAATTATTTTATTTAGTGTTTATCTCTTAAAATATTTATTTTTTCATGTAGAAATAAACCTCGTATGGTTTATCATATTTCGAGAATATTTTTATAAATATTTCATAATGTTCTGAAAATTATTTTATTTCACGTTAGTTTCTTAAAATATATTTTCTTCCATTTAGAAATAAACCTCGTATCGTTTGCTATATTTTGAGAAATGCTTCGAAAGAAATGCCTTACATTATTAATATTAACAGTTTTTTAATCGAGACAGCTTTATAAAAGCAGTTATGAAGTTTTCATGTCATTATAAATTATAAGATTTTTTTTGGCGGAAATGAATAACTCAAATCATGTATATTTTTCATAATTTAACTACCACTTTAAAATAAATTCTCGACTGTTCTTCCTCAAAATATATCAGGCCTAAAGAGCTAAGAAATGCTATAACTGACCACTGATCAGTAGAATAGTTTTCTAATTATTAAGTATAATTAATTAATAATATTTTGAAAATTTATAATTAATTATATTTTAAAAATTAAAAGCAATCAATTGAGTTGCAATATCGAGGTTTAAAATTTATTTTTATGAATAACCAATAAACCACTTAATTTAACCTACTGAAAAATTAAAAAGGATAAGTTAAGTAGCAATTTATAAAAAACAAACTTTTTTTAAAAAAAATTCTGTTTTATCTTAAATAGCAAAGATAAATTAAGTTAATATTTTTTTTATATATATATAAAAAGCTGACAAAATTTATGCAACATTAAAATAATAATAAATTGGTGCAATTTTCGTCAACTAGTACAGTATCTATGTGCAGCCTATGAAAAAACTTTAACCCATCTATCTGTAGTATCTACACACAAATACAAATGGGTTAAGTTTTTCTTATTAACTTTAACCCTCATCCAAATTTTTGACGCCATTCAAGTAAGAGGTGGCAAAAATTTAGAGGAAGTTAGATGTGACATATATAAGTCATTTTCACGATAGCTCATAGGGTTTCTTTCTTAAATTTTTTATTTATTTACTTAATTTACTAACTCTTTATCAATAAATTAAGTTATTAAAAAAGTTATTAAATAATAACTGATGAAGGGAATAATGAAAAATTTATTAGAATCTCCACAACGTGATAGTTAAGTTAATTTTGAAGGCTGAAACTTTAAATTTCAATGCGACAGGTTACATATTTTTTAAGATTATTAATATTAATTTAAAGAACTGAACTTTACCATAACTGCATCCCACTGTTTTTTTTATCTTGCTATTTCTTAGATCAGCGGTTTCCAATTTTTTTCCCAGCTATGGAGCCCTAAATAATCATCCATGTTTCGGTAAATCTCCGATCTTATAAACAAAGTTTATACAGACAACTGTGTTCGTATTAACCAATAAAATACTACTTTATTTTTAAAATATTTAATTATAACATTTTTCATCGCTTCATCATTAATAAACTTAAATTAGGTTTTATATCCGATAGTTGAATTAGCATTTCTAGATCTCTATCTGGTCTAGCTATGAATTTGTTTTTTGGTATAATATAGGCTAAAAATAATAAAATAAGCAGAATTATGTTGAAATGGAAGTTAAAAAAAACTACTATAAAGGTTGAAAATGGTTATCAAGAAAACATATCAATTTATTAACGAATTTAGTAATTTTATTTTGTTTTGAAAAGTGCGATAGTACATATTAAAGTAATTTTTTATATGCATGTTCTTTTTCATGGTTTATTCTTTTTAATGTTATTAGGAAAATTATGTTTTTAGAAATGTTGCCATTTCTTTTTCATTAGCATTTTGCTTTAAATAATTTCACAAACGCAACCGAAATATAAGATAAACAATGTATTATTGATTGGATCAAAACATATTTAAAAGTTTAAAAAAAGAAAAATAGTTACCGGCTAAGAAAAGTTCTAATTCTCGGAACACCATTTGAGAACAGCTGTCTTAAAGATAATTCGATGCGGTTCATCCAAGCTCAACAAGGTAATGACTGGTGATAATCTTGAAAAAAAATGGTAGACAAACTATTTTGTTATCGATTTATTTAAAAGTGGAATAACTAGGATTGTGTTATTTTATTCTCTTCTGATTTTACGGGATTTTTATTTATAAATTAGGACTAATAATAAATAGAACTAATATGAATAAAGACTAATATGAATAAGGAATAATATAAATGGAACTAATGTGAATAAGGAATAGTATAAATGGAACTAATGTGAATAAGGACTAATATGAATCGAACTAACATGAATTATAAATGTTATAATCGAACTAATATGAATTAAGATTGATATAAATTGAACTAATATGTAGTAAGACTAATATAAATAGAACTAATAAGAATTAGGACTAATATAAATAGAACTAATATAAATAGAACTAATATGTAGTAAGACTAATATAAATAGAGCTAATATAAATTAGGACTAATATATAAATAGAACTAATATAAATTATGACTAATAGAATACATGGTCCCCACAGTCCTTGAAAAATTTTAGTAATGGTAGTAAATTGAGGTTAATGCTAAAAGATATTTCTTATTTGAATATACCACTTTGTCGTTAACCCGTTTTGTCCCGAATTTTTAAATTGAAATGATACAAAAAGTGGTTTTATGGAAAAAGTGGTATAATATATTATCGAAATTAATTGGTTTTTCTACTGTTAAGGCATTCAAAAACTCTTTGATAGATCAAAAAATACTTGTTCCTTCGAATTCTAGATCTAATCAGAAATAACTAAATCATTGTGGTATCNTAATTTTTTCGTATGGAACTGGAGAGCCGCAACTTTACATCAAAAGAGCCACCTGTGGCTCGCGAGCCACAGGTTGCCGACCACTGGGTTAAGTGGTTTAGAAGCTGGAATTTTCATGCGTATAAACTTTCTTTGGAAAACAATTTTTAGTGGTGGTTACACAGAAATAAAATTATCGACATTTGTTTAATTTTCGTTACCACTTTTTAAAATTTACAAGGCCTGGGGGTAATAAAAATTAAGAATAATATGAAAAGAACGAATAAAAATTAAACGTTTTGAAATTAAAGTGGAAGCAAAAGTAAATTTATTATGCTTGGCATACCCATATTTTATGAAGGGTTCTTGATTTCTAAGAGTAAGTTTGTACTAATCTATAAAGTAAAGTGGTAGTAAATATCTATTATAAAATTTAATTATCTGCAAAATAAAAATAATTTTCTCACTGTCTTGTCAACAAGTAGACAACTTAAAGTTTTTTTTTTTCGAAGGATAACAGAGCCACTGACTTAGTAAATAGCCTTCAGACTAATTACTGCTTTTCATTTGATAATTAAATTTTGATCCTACGTTTTCAGTTTTGTGTATATATGTATATAGTTTGTAAATATTATCTGTTTCGTAATCGCTTTTGTTTATATTAATCTCGTTTTATCTTGTATATATTTTCTAGTAATATTTTCGGCGAGCATGTGCCTTCCAGTTTCCTTGACACTATGTTAGTTTCAGGGATTTCAAAATCATTTTAAATAAAATGCTTAATCAGCGACTTTCAAATAGTGTTTTACGGAACCCTAAGGTTCCGTTGAAGAGTTCAAGGAGTTGCGAAAGTTAGGATATTTGTCTTAACCAGTAACTTTTGAAACCTTTAGTTATAGTGAGATCTTATCCTCTTTTTATTTCATATTTCAGATACCCTTATTAAATTATTTAAAGTAAAATGCCATTGAAAAAGAAAATGATAATTTTTTTATTAGATATTATTTCTCTAATAACAAAATATTGTAAGAATTCTGAAAAGATCATGCATTTATGAAACTTTTATTATTATTTGCCATCGTGCTTTTCAAATAAAAATGAAATTTCCAAATTTGTTTATAAAAAAATGTGTTTTCTTTATCTTCAATGTTTGCAGCAGTTAGTTTAAGTTTTTATTTCAAAGAAAACCATATTTCTGCTTACTTTATTAATTGTCAGCCACGTAGCACCAGAAACAAATTTTAACTAGGTTAGATACAGTGACTTCGAATTGAACTGCAGGACATAGAAATTGGCTTGAGATTAGTATCATTATTTATACTATATAATACAGTGTATGATAAAGCTATGAAAAAAATTCATTTTTCTTATTAATTGTTTTTTTCTTTTTAAATAAAGTTTTTTTTCGGTAAATACGTTCGCAATTGTCTTTATTTATATGAAGTTGAGGTTCCATCGAAAGGGGGTTAATCAATTAGGGTTCCATTTCCGAAAAAAAAAAAATTGGAAATTAAAGCTTAAATTTTGCGGTTACTCAAAATATTTGAAAAAAAAAAAGAAAGTTTGGAAGAAAATTAATTCTATAAAAGAATGAAAAAAAATAGAAAAACGCTGAGAACAGGGTTTATTATTTTAATAAAATGCTTCATGAATATTTCCGACCTTGAATAAATGATACTCATTTTGTGTCTGTAGACCAATAAATTAATTCTTTAAAAATAAGCATTCGAATCTTACACCATCAATCATTAGTCATGATTTTTAAAACAAAACTGGTATAGCTGATCAAATACCATTTTTACTCTTTTAATATGTTAATCAGCCAAAACTAATGATATTTTAGGTTATATATTGAACTATATTAGTCTCAAAAACATACTTTTTCTGAATATTTTCGACGAATTGGGATACTTAATCATAGCCATCAAAATATCTGCAAGTCAGGCCGAAGAGCAGTCGACTTTTTTGTTCTACTAATGTTCAACTCCGTAGCCTTGTAATTTTGAACCCAATTCAGAAGACAAGGGAATTCCTGGATCAAGTATGGGGAGAAATTTGCCTTCGTGGAGGACTTTTTGATGGAACTAACCCGCATTTGCGTTACATGGAGAGGAAACCCACAAAAACCTCTCATTGTTAGCCTGACGGCAAGAGGACTTTAACTCATGATCTGTCTACCACTGAGGATATTTTACGTCGGCACTGTGGTCGGTGCAATCTGGATGCGGAATTCGTATCCCAGCCTTTGCTGGGATTCGAACCCGGTTCACCCCATTGGAAGGTGAACGCTCTATCCCCTAAACCACGGCTCATGTTATAATTTCGAAAAAAATTTGAATTATGAAGTATTACGCCAATCTAATCTACGTAATTTTAAATTATTAAATTCAAAGTTTGAAATAATACTCGAACAGTTCTTTAGAAATGAAAGTTTAAAAATTCGACTTCTTTGAACTTTCAACCTCTCTCCAACTATTGGGACTATATTTTTTTAGATTTCTACCTTCATATTAGATTCTACCTTCTTATTTTTAGATTTCAAGAATCCAAATTCGCCGAAGAAAAAGCTTGTTCATTCAGAAAAAATACGTTTTGTGCGTAACTTAAAATATTGTCAGAATTAATTAGTTAGCAAATTTGAGGCAAGCCTTCAAACTATTAAGTTTGAGTCCTAATGCGTGAAAATACAATCTTTTTTTCCCTTTTTTCGCAATTTCTTATTCATATATTTTTTTGAAATTAATTTTTACTGTGCTGACCTCTTGTTTCCCTCATTTTATTGATTTTTGTTCACTTTGTATGGTGTATTTTATGAATTTTTGTTGGCGTGAAATTTTCTAAATGTCCTTTTTAGGCGAGTTGTTATAAATCTTCAATGTTTACTCACGAAACTAAAAAAAAAAAAAAAAAATTGCAGAGACTTGCAAAATTGATTAATATACTATACTTGTACCCAATTTTTTAAACATTCTTTCAACGAAACTCCGACTTTATAAACAAAGTATATACAGACAACTGTGTTCGTATTAATTAACCAATAAAATACTACTTTATTTTGAAAATATTTAATTAGAGCATTTTCAGCATTTTATCATTAATAACCTTAAATTATGTTTTACATTCAACAGTTGAATTCACAGTCCTGGAGGTGAATAAAGCCCCATTATGAATTTGTTTTTGGTGTATAAAGATAAGATAAAAATGAATGAAATATGCCGAGTTATGGTTTTCGTTGAAATAAAAACTAAGAAGAACCGCGATAAACGTTGAAAATTGCTAGTAGAGAAACATATAAACAATCTAGTTATTTTATTTTGGCTTGAAAAGCGCAATTGAAGTGTGGAATGAAATATTTTATAAATGCATATCCATTTCACAGTTTACTTTTTCGTAGTTACATAGTTATTTAAAAAATTTTGTATTTTTTCCAAAAAAGAAAAATTTGCTATTTATTTTTCATTGGCATTCTACTTTATAAATAATATCGTAGCGGCTACCAAAATATTCATTAACACGTTGAATGCCACACTAATTTTACATGGTTCTCCCGTCTGACCAAACGGTAAATAACTACAAACTAAATTTGCAAATATTAGACATGATTACGCTAGTTTTTGAAAGGTTTAGCATGACATATCTGAAAAAAGTGGTGACTTATATATGCCTACGAATTGTTTAGAAATAGTNATTTCAGGATTTTCGTTGAATGCCACACGAATTTTACATGGTTCTCCCGTCTGGCCAAACGGTAAATAACTACAAACTAAATTTGCAAATATTAGACATGATTACGCTAGTTTTTGAAAGGTTTAGCATGACATATCTGAAAAAAGTGGTGACTTATATATGCCTACGAATTGTTTAGAAATAGTGGAGGATAAAAATCTACTAAATTGAATTTATTAAACCAAAAATCACAATAAATAAACCACCACTTGAAAATATTTATTCACTGTCCGGAGCAAGTTGGCATTTCTGTGTATATAAATAAAACTATTTTTGTGTGTTCTATGTTGCATTAATTTCAGCAAAAACTATTTTAGCAACGATAATAACATTAAAAAAATTAAAAATTTACTCGAATTTTGTGTTTCTAATAATCTTGGTTTCGCCGGTCACCGGTGACCCCCGTGGCATTCAACATGTTAAATAATGGATTATTGATTGGATTTAATCATAGTTACTGGTTTCAAAACTGTTTTTAAAAAAATCTTA